TTCTGAGTGAGAGGGCCGGATGGAAATTGCTCCGCGCTTTAAGGAAGCGACTTGACGCCACCGAAACGCGTAGACGCTAATCTCCAGTAAGCAGCGCTGCGAAGTGTAAGGGATTAAAATGTTATATATGGTGAATGAGGCATAACGCTTCAACATTTAAGCTACGTGTAATATTAGCTGTGGGGGTTGCATGGGAAATTACTTAGGCTTATGTTTCAAGGTGTAGGAGTGGGAAACATTAAATTTAAACGGTTTTAGCTTTGTAATTATTTTTGGATCATTTGTATTATTTACTGTAGCTAATACAACAAGCAATCATCGATGATAAACGTTATTGGAAACCAGTGCGGTTCGACAAAACGATGTGGTTTGTTTTCGTTTCGTCGTGTAAACTGTGGCAATAATTCAAACGATGGGATTGCTTCAGCACTGTATATCGACGGCATTCATCTGCATAGAAATTGTGCGTTTAATTAAAATAGTCCGCGGTCTAATCCATAATGCATGCACGAAAAGTCTATGCATATGCGGTTTGGTAACACCATGTTTTGTTGTTGACGGAACTGTAGGATTGCATATGGAACTTTTAGATGCTCTAAACTTGATAACCATCCGTAGTTTAATTACCTACACTGAATTTCACTTAAAATGCAATATACAAAAATATATTTCCATAGAAACTAGGGTGTACCTACTTACTTTGTCTCACATAAAATGCAACATGTCTGATGTCCGGTTGCACCGTTTACATAGTTGAGCATAACTTAGTTAAGCAGTTCTTATAATTAAGAAGAACTTAAATTTTATGTCTATTGCACCGACACAACATATACAATGCTCAACTAAGTAACGTTTAAGTATCGATTATTTGGCAACAACGCCATAAAATTTAGTTATTTTCATAAATTTTCGTAATTTTTTAGGGTTTTTCGTGTTGTCAAGTTAATGTCAGTTGAAAACTAGATAGGTTAAGTAATGAAAAATAGTTATTTTTATAATAAATTGTTTTATAAATCATTAAAGTAGTTATTTATTAAATTATCTCTTAAATAATGTATCCCATTATTGCCGATATTATTCATCTCCAGCCTCAATTTGAACATTTAAATCTGCTTCATTAATGTCATCTGGAAAAACAGCAACATTTTCTTCGGCCATAACTGTTCTGGTAATATTTTGTAGAACTGCCGTTACTACAATAACCTCCATCACAGTGGAAATTTTCAAACGTAGGCCATATGCAAGGACAGGAAATCGACGTTTCCAATTTCCAAAGAACCGTTCCACTGTATTTCGGGTTCTTATATGAGCTTCATTATACAGTTCTTCTGGTCTTGTTCTACACTCTGCCAATGGAGTTAGAAAATACTCTCGCAGAGGATATCCGCTGTCGCCTAAAAGAACCTTATCATTAATCATTTGTAATCAAATAGTAATATGTACTATTTTACGTTAAGTATCAGTAACATCATACCTAATAATATGCCATTTTGGAAATCTCCGTTTTCTAACCGTGCTCTAATCCGACTATTATTAAATATAGTTGAATCGTGAACAGATCCTGGCCACCTTGCCACAATATCCATGGCTTCCAAATTTGCATTTACAATAACTTGTACATTAAAAGAAAAGTAGCCTTTTCGGTTCCTGTACACTTCTGCATCTTCGCCACCAGGAGACTGAATTTTTATGTGCGTGCAATCAATGGCACCTATAATCCTGGGAAATGCAGCTATTCCATAAAACTGGTTTTGTACTGCTAGAATTTCTTCGGTATTACTTGGCATTTTTATGTATTGCGGTCTCAGCATAGCAATTGCACGCGATACCCGCGATATAATTCTACTAGCTGTTGAAGTATGCATCCCGGTAAAATCAGCTACAATAGTTAAATGGCTAGCAGAAGCGTAAAATCTAAGGGTTGTTAGCAACTGGTTCATTGGAGACACACAGTTGTTTCTGTACAAAACAAGTAGTATTAAAATAATCTAAATTCAGCCTATAAAAGTATAATTTAAAATAATGTATACTACTTACTTATTAGACGGAAATTCTATAATTTCTTGTATTTGTCGTAGAACATACAAACAACTTTGTTTTGTTAGACGAAATCTTTTAAAAAAATTATATTCGTCCATTTCGTGGAAATAATTGGATCTTGTGTATATTAATTTTGGAAAACCAAAATCAATTATTTCCAAAACATCTAAATCGTCGTCGAAAATTTGCAGATCCATTATTTTATTTTATTACTTTTTTAACGTATAGGTTATGTGCAGTTATGTCTATTTGACGTATGCGCTTGAGAACAACTTAAGCACTGGATTTCAAATACTTATATTTGAGAACGTCTTATTGATTTTGAGAACGGGTTGCTTGACGGTGCAACGCAAATTCACTACTTAAGCATTACTTAGCCTTTAAGCAATGCTTATGTATTACGGTGCAAACGGACATGAGTGTTTCTAGTTATAGGTCTAATCACTAGAACTAACTCAAGACCTAGAACTAGAATCATCCTGGTTTAGCTGTTTTGAGAGACGTGTCGCACGTGTACTATTGAGCTATGTTGCATTTTATGTGGGATAGTGCAAGTGCATAGTAGTTTCTTAACTATGGTTACTGCATTCATATATTGCGAGTTTTATAACAATTCCGGTAGATTTCGTTAGCCTATAATTGCGTTTGTTAATTGTACTCAAAAAAACTGTTTAAGATTAAGATTGTAAGTACATATATTTTTATCCAGTTATAATTACGAAATGCGTATTTCTCTACCTTGATTATAATTTATCCGCACCGACAAAAAAGGAAATAATTATAGCAAATTGCGATTACAGCTTTGTATTTACGCAATTTTGGTCTTTAATTTTACAGGGTTTAAAGTCTATTTTCTCATGATACGAACGGCTTCAAATGATAGATATAAAAATACGTTTTTCAACATATTTCCTGAAATATTTAAAGAAAAATACTACATTTGTTTGGATGCTTTATTTTTTATCGAGACGTGATGTACTCATGCGATGTATCGACTAGGATTATAGAGATAACGTCACTGCATTGAGTTCCAATAGCAGGGTATAGATATACCGCAGCTGAATCTGAAGGATTTTACGCATTCTGAACATAATAATGAAGCCGGTGATGGGTATAATTGATCAAACAGCCAGAATCACGCATACTAACACTAGTAATCCTCTATAGGGTATTCCAAAAATAATGGAATCCGATTGTATGTGGAGTTAGAAACTGTAATGGCGAGCGTAAAGGAAATAATTCAGTGGAGATAGATACTGCATCGTTGCAACAGCAATTAGTAAAATTCACATCACGTTAAGCTAACTAATTGTTGTATAGGTTTATAATTCTTTTAAAATAGTTTGAGTACTAAAATTATTAACTATTGTTTTGTAAGTTGCTTTTGATATCAAGAATAAAAAATCCAGGAATGGCAAATCTTGAAAAAGCAAAATGAGTTGACTTGGGTTGGGTTGGGTTCTCAGAGGTTCCTTTAAGGGTGGTTACTCGGCCGCAAGCGATCCTCAGTTTAATTAATCAAAAAATCTAGAACTCCACATGATTATACTGAGGCTGCTTACGACCGTGGCGAAAAATAAAAATTTTTGTCAATACTTCTACATTAGTATGGTTCTTTGTGCCACCATGCATTTCATAGCAAGTTGTAACTAAGTATCTAATTAAGTATCAATTCGGTTCTTTATAGTAAGTTGTATGCAAACATTTTAGCAAAGTTATAGAACTTTCCGACAATATCCTTGAGACTTACACATCGTTACTGAATTCAGTTGATATTGACCACATTATTTCGATAATTGCTTTCGATTTCAATTTCACTTTCAATGAACATACGAAAACTTGTGATCGATTATAAATAATTTTGATTAAATTTGCTTTAAAAATGAATAATTTTGATTGTCTTAATTTTATAGCTACACGATAATTTTATTAGTTAAACAAAGTTTGCTTATTTCGAAGCGTGTCTACTGTTGTTATAAAAGGGGTTAGAGACAGTATGGCTTTTGAAATGAGGGTACCACAAACTAGAGTGGTTGGCTTATTAGTAAAGTTTCCCGAAGGCACTTTACCCAGCCTACTGCGGCAAAATCCTTTAGAAATTCAATCATTATGACAGGTACCTAGAGATACACTTTCTCTATACATTGTTTCTATTAATAATTTTAGGCTTTTAATAATAAGAAATCAGCAATTTAATATCGTGTTTATTGTGTCGAAATAAGCAGAATCTATTAAAGGTATGCGGTAAAACGAAATGGCTCGAAGTAATAAAACCGTTGCGGGAAATCTCAAAAGGGAGTGGACTCTTTAAAGGTGCAATGCGTTACAGACCAACCCCCAAGTCACCCTTTTCTTGCTGACTCACCAAGATTCGTCTTTCTCAGCAATTTCCTTTGAGTCTTTCCTCAGAGTATTTGTATGCCTTTCGACTAATTTATAAGTTTTTGGAAATTTATTCACTGCTAAAAAAGTTAAACTATTTCAATTTCCATTTGTTTAACCTTTATTAAGAAATATTTACCGAGGAATTTTTTTACGAAAATTACCCTGTCTTTCTTGTTTTTTACTCCGGATTCACTCGCTTTGTTACTTTACTACCACGTGATTCAACGTGAGAGTTTTTTTTCCGTTCTGCTTTTAGTTTTTATTCGTCAAACGATGGGGAGTTTGAATTTTTAAACGTCGTCCTGTGTCCTGCAACGCCCCGGGTACAATAATTCGTATGGCAATTTTTAATCTGAAACGAGATGGGCGAAGAATGTAACGAGGGAAATTTTTAAATTCATCTTGCCACAACACGAAAAATTTAAAATATGTGTGTTTTGTTTAATTTGAAAATTTGTTTTAATGAGATTTTAATAATCTATTTTTTTCTTGATAGCACAGAGAAGCTGGGTGATTATTGGTGATGTGAGAGTTGCGACGTCGCGACGCGCGGCGTCGCATCGCCAACGTCGAACAGTCACAGTTTGCGCGTCCGATCGCAGTGGGCCGCGCACACTGCGCCAGTGATACGCCGCCAACTTGATATCAACGACGACTTGCGATTTTAAGCACAACCGCACGCCGAAACGTTTGTGAAGTTGTTATATACAGTGTTATAAACACAAGCGTGATTTTAACGGGACGCGAATTATTGTGTGCGACTCTGTTTTAGTTCGATTGAAAAAAAAAACCTTTCCGGATAGAGTTTTTGTTTCAACAGCAAAAACTGTCAATAACGCGGATAATAAAGAAAAAATGAAAACGGTAAGTGTATTGGTTGCAGAAAAAAATACGATACGGTTTGTTAGTAGTTATACAGTTGCGGGAGGTTTTATCGAACTAAAAAAAAATCTAAAAAGTTCCTATTAACTGGAATAAACTGTCGAAATGTTTTTCGAGTTGACTCTGGTTTTGCAAGTTGAGATTAAAACCTGTACTAATAAAAACTTAAACACATAATCTTGAAAAATTTGATGCTATACTACATTAAGTATGACTTATTTATAATTTTAATCTTGTTATTGCTAAAATAAGAAAAAAATAAGAAATGATTCATTACTTTGATTTATTGTGATTTACTTAAAACAGTTTATTTTCTAAACATTTAATTAATCTTGACGTAAATATAATGATTTAGCCATGCAAAATTTGAAACCGCAAGTGTCTTAACTTTCAGATTAAACATTACAAACAAATTTTTCATTTTTATTTCTTATCAATATTTATTATTTTTTAAGCGGAAATAAAACCGCAAATAACCTTAGAAGAACGATAACAATATCAATACAATTAAGTTTATTTTTGTGATTTTAGTTAACGTCATTTACAAAAAAACACCCTTAAAAAATCGTTATTTAAATAATATCAACCCGGTGTTATCAATTTTAATTAAAAATGATTGAAGAGGAAATGTCGTAAAATATATTCAGTTCATATTTAATAACGTATTATTTATCATTATTATATATAAATATGAAATTATTTGACGTCAAAAAGAAATCTAATTTGTTATGATTTCTTGAAAAAGAATGAAAATAATTGATTAACCCAAAAATTGAGTTGTATTGGAAACTGAATATCTCAAAAACTAAAAGATATTTTCAAAATTGATTTCTTGCATTGGAAAGTTTATTATTTCTATGATATTAAATGGTGATAATTTCATAATGATTCATTGAAATTCCAATTTGTTATGATTTTTTTATGCTTTATATATTTATTTTTATACGAAAATAACGTTGATTTTGACGATTTGTACCTAAGAATTGTAACACAGAAACGAATTAAGTCGGTGAGTTTTAACACAAAACATTTTCCGGAATTTAACGCTGAATACACGAAATTAAAATGATATGTAAGAAAACTTTATTCCATACTTTAACTTCTCACTAGTCAAAAGCTTATCATATATTATACAACAAGACGATCGAAAATACTCGATAATACGAGACGTATTGCCTTAAAAAGGCAATACGTCGAGAGGTTACGACCAAATCGCTGAAATACACGCAATTGACGGAAAACCACGAATTCTTATTGACTGTTAACGTTATGAATGAAATAGTCTCTTTTGAACAACATGCACTTTCCAAACATGGGCTAAATACAACAATCTAATTATTAAACTGGGAGAGAGGTCATAAATCACAAAGATGTTGCTTCAATTAGCTATAACACAAACAGCTATAAACTCCTACAAGAAAGCGTTCTCACAGACATTTAGAACGGTGAGGATTATCAGGCAAAATGTTAAAAAATGCGAGATCAATGCTTTGAAGATACTATTATTGAGAGTATTTTGAATTGGATGAAGTTGATTGAAGTGAAAGTTGACGTTGAGAAAAAAATTTTGAAAGATATGAAGGACGATGTTTATGATATCAAGGTTTGAAGTTGAGGTTGATGAAAAATGGCGTAGAGATATGATAAACGATATTGATGGTAGTTAAGAATGAGATTGAGAAAAAATCGATATTGGACAACGAAGTATCACGTTCGAAAAACGTTATCCAACATAATAATAGAAGTGTAGTTAGGGTAGTGACATTATTATGAATGAAATCGAAAACCTGATAAATAAATAGTTGATAAGATAAATAGTGGAGTAGTGTAGTGGGTGTTAGAGAAAATTAGAAAACTAGAAAGTATTGTTGTTTCGATTAAACACAGATTTCATCAAACATCTAATAATATCGAAATAGACACAGCAAGTGTGGAATTCTTACATACGATATATTTACTAAAATACACAATCAAAACATAAATTTTATAGTACGGCAGTTGTACGGAAGTGGTTATAAATATTTATGCTAAATTGTTTATTTTCTCAAAGAAATTGCAATACATGCATAATACATCGATGACTAATAATAAATTCACTTTAATACTTTAATCATTTACAATATTGTATTGAATTGTCCAGCTACAAAATGGATGTAACTGAGCTAAATTTGATTATGAATTATGTATTCTGTTTTTTTTTGCAAATAATTTAGGTATATTTAAAATATTTTCTTTCAACACTTTCAGTTTTTGAGTTATGTCCAACTTCAATGTCTAACGAAATCCATCAACTTTAATATTTTTGGGTTTTCCACTTTCCAACTACAAAATGGTTGTAACTGAGCTAAATTTGGTTATGATTTGTGTATTATGGGGTCATTATAAACAAGTTTTTGAGTTGTGATCGACTTTATTAACGATAATAATTCAATTTTCACTTTTTAGCCAGAAGACGCTCATGTATATAAGCATCTATGAAGTTGATTATGATCAAAGCTTTATTAAGTGAGACATTAAAGCATAAAAGTCATTGAGACAGCTTATTGAAACTTGAATTTATTTTTAAGCGAAATAATTATATACTAGGAACAAATAATTTGCTTGTGTAATTCCCTTATGGATAACAAATGCGTGGAATGGGAATGACGCAGAAAACTTTTATGGCAATAACAAGCGTTTGTGCAACATCAAACACGAGTACTTACGATTACTTCAATTATAAGACATCGATAAAACCTAAAATAACATGCGAATTTCCTATATGAATCAACTACAAGTGTAAATCTAAGAATAAACCAATGATTTATGTGTTTAGGCAGGACTTTGTTTTTTATTTAACAGATATTTCAACATAAATTTTTTTTATATGTTTACCCTTTATGGAATAGTTTTATGTCAAGTAAATATAGATATAGAAATGTACTATTTATGAGTATTATCCCCTAAAGGAATGCAATCGCAAAATGTTTGTGCTTAGTGCAATTTACAAAGTTTAAAAATAGTAAGTTTTAATATTTTAAATTTGTAAAAATGTGTTTTAATCATTACTTGATGCTTTTAAGGTCACCAGACGCGCGCTTCAATAATGCTAGTTGAAGCTATCAACTGTTTTATACATTCTTTTACTATCAAAATTGGTCGTGGTGTATAATTCACAATTTATTAATTGTTAACCTCGAATAAATTCGGAATAAAATTAAAATTATATTTCTCAATTAAAACGTTGTTACAACAGCCATAAACAAACGTTATATAAGACGATGATATCACTACTAAACGTAGTAAACTCTCAGAACCTTGTAAATCTAAACGTGAGTTACAACGATATATTGCAAAGAATCCCGTTAGAACGATGGTCCTTCGATAAAAATATAATACAACACTTGGCAGATGTAGTATTTTTATCTTTTATTTTTAACACTTTGGCAACTGTCGCGCAAATCATTTCTTTTTATTTTTCATTCGAAATTTCGTTAAAAACGCGCGATTTCACAGAGATAACAAACGGGCGCCTATAAAACATGTCTTTGGACTGTCAAAAAAGGCATCGGAATCAGTAAACAAGTTTATATTTAGGCGACATTAAAGACGGGTGGCTCACTAATCCGTGAAACGTCAAAATATGTGGAGCAGGGGGGAAATTTATAGTCGGGTCACTTGCATTAAAATTAGCACCCGAATTTTCCAAAAACACATACTCATGTGTCTATATCAGCATGCCCTTGGCTATATGTCATCTATTTGGCAATCGTACTCTTATAGCATCGTATATTTCATCAGCATAATTTTCTTAAAAGAAGAAATTTTTAAAATTGTGGGCGATATTTTATTTTTATCTTTGCGGTAAGTGGGAGTTATTTAAATTTTTCGGTATTACTCTCTTAATTCAGCTGGATGGTATGCAACGTTCCCATATCTACAATAACAAAGCGGCGTCTTTAGCATAAAAGTACAAGAGATGCAAGCGCTAACCAGGCAGGTAACGAGCAAAGCTTAAAGGTTGAAGTTTTAATGTAAAATGTCGACTATTTGCAAACCTGCAGTCTTTCCCGTTAACCCTAATGCGCCCTACTTTTAAATGTTTATCCCAAAAACTAAATATATTTACAATTCTCTAAATTAATTCTTAAATTAATTTAGTTTTCTTGATATTTCAATTTATAATTTAATACAATATCTTTCTTGATAGTATAATAAACGCAATGTCGTGGTATATTTCTCAACAACCCGCGTTGTTGGTAGAAACAGGGAGACGAAAGCAAATTACATTTCAATTTTAAGTAAATTATTGTGTAAAGTTTCTACCTCGCTTAACGTTCTAATCGAGCGAAGAGAAAATTGCATTGTTCGTATAATACACAATCTCAGAAATCTCTGTCTCACTTCTGTGCTTCTATTTGTTGTTAAGTCAAAACCATACAAGAATGACAGCTTACGGAACGAGTGGAATATGATTTCATTCGGTTAAAACGCAAAAATGACATTGAATGTAAAAGTGCTTTGTGCCTATATCTACTTCTATAATACATATTTGAGGTTTCGCGTTCGAGCTCATATACGAAGAGGATCAATAGCCGAGCTTCGCTACAAGTAGAATACGTGGCTTGAACAAATACAATTTTTGAATTTCTATTGCGATTTTATTTCTAGAATAAACGTATTTCTACATTTAATATTTTGTATTTTTTATTTATTTCTCATAATATTAGAAGTTGCTACGATTTTTTAAGCCTAACTCTGCATGCTTGATTCTTACGGTTACCAATAGCAAATGTTTAACAACTTGTATCTCAAGAACGAATTGAGATATAACGATGAAATAAAAAGCATTTTAAAGCTAATTTAATGAAGATTAAATGTGCAATAAATAATTTCTTATTTTCCATAAATATAGTTGCTAGGATTTATTGAACCTAATTTTACATGTTTGATTGTTATAGGTGTCAAAAGCAGATATTTAAAAAATCGTATCTCAAGAACGAATTGAGATACAACAATAAAATAAAAATCATTTTAAAGCCCATTTATTGTAGATTAAATGTGCTATAAATAATTTCTTATTTTCCATAAACGTAGTTGCTACGATTTTTTAAGCCTAACTCTATATGCTTGGTTCTTGCGGTTACCAATAGCAAATGTTTAACAACTTGTATCTCAAGAACGAATTGAGATATAACGATGAAATAACAAGCATTTTAAAGCTAACTTAATGAAGATTAAATGTGCTATAAATAATTTCTTATTTTCCATAAATGTAGTTGCTAGGATTTTTTAAGCCCAACTCGTATTTCAAGAACGAATTGAGATATAACGATGAAATAAAAAGCATTACATGTTTGATGGCTATAATATTATATGAATATTGTATGTATCTCCAGTATGTTTTGTAGTTTCAAGAAAAATGGGAGATATTAACTTCGACGTTGCAAAGTTGTCTATACAAGACTAGAAACTTATAATGCAACTCGTCTACAATAGACATACTTTCCTGACTTTCCTGGTACTTTAGAATATGTAACTGTGACGAGTATAGAATTTATTTATATTCAATGATATTTGTACGAATTTGAAATTTAATCGATGTCAAGTAATCAATTATATATAATAATTAGAGTAATATCTCATGTATAATGCTGGACAATTTCTATATTTAGATTATTATATTGATTTTGTCGATGGCCGTTACTAGAAACTTTTCTTCTGTTTAAGTATAGATATAGAAATCACGTGACCCAAGGTCAGTATTGTGGCACCTGTGATCGATGATACGTTTACCTAAGTACTAAATTACCTTTGGTCTTAGAGGTCTAATTTAATGTAGAACCTTATCTTTTTTATAAGGTCAACTGCTAAAAAGATAGCTAATCTACGTAAATTATAGTAAATTTAAGAATTGTTATCAGAAAATAAAATCAATTACATAACGAATAAAAATAATAAATAACGTTTATATAACTTTTTAGAAACGACATCAAGTTTGAAATATATTTATTGATTTCCATGCATACGGTAGCTCAGAACCACTTTCCTGTTACAGATTGGGGCAATTAGCCGATTGAGCTTTGAAATTGAAGCGCTTAACGGACTTCTAACTTCAATTACACTTCTACGAAGTTCATTGATGCTTTCGGAGTCAATTTTATGATTGAATGTGTACACTCAAGTTATTTCACTAATTAATTAACATTTACCTGACAACTTTTTTTAAGTAGATATTATTTTAAAATGATGAAAAAGTGAGTTGAGTGTCTATAGAACGACCAAAAGTAGTTATGTCAACTAATTTATAAAGTATTAAAGGGAGTATTTTAAAGGGATTAAATTTTAATAGAGCCCTTGTTCCGTAAAACTTATTATATTAACGAACGCTTAGAATTTATTAACACTAAAGTGCACCATCATAACTATTTAATGGTTAGATTCTCTACTAATGTAAGTCTGACACGTACAACTTTTTGATTACAAAACTAAGGGGATTGAAAACTCCAAATTTCTTATATTAATTATATAGTTTTCTTTTACTATTTTCACTATTTCCTTCGTATATGTGAGAAAATAAAAAACAAAGTGTAAAGTTTTTTTTTTGTAATCTCCAAACAGAGTTGCACAGAGAAAATCTTGCTTCGTGTTACATTGACACATAAAACCGGAGGCTGCAGTATTGAAGCAGGGATGAGTGGGACGAACCTTACCATCCCAGTTCTCGTAAATGTAACCCATCGTTATTCAGCATTAAGCTTAGTTTTATTGAACACAGACTTTACTATGTTTCTTACAACATGTTTTTTTTCCTTTTCAGAAGCTGGACATAAATGTTTATTTCAAAACTAGTGAAAAGGAGAATTAAAAACTGTTAAAGGAAATTTTAAGGAATTGGTGAGTTTTAAACAAATTTCAATTTTAAAATAAGGTTTCCGGTCTAAAAGCAAATTGCACGTCCTTAAGATTCAATTGATTTTCAGATTGATAACAGGCTATTATCGTTACCATTTTCTTTACGTTGACAAATATCATCGTCTTAAATACTAGGACGGGGGCAATAAAAATAATTGGATTTTCAGCACGTTCTCCGAAGAGGCTAGGCCATTGTTATTTTTCTTCCGTGCCTTTTGTAATCCAACTACCCGCAGTGCCCCGGCTGGAAAGCTGCAATTAATTTTTGTTAGCGTCAAGAGATGTCCTTGTGGAACAAAACCACCGGACTTACACGTTAAATCCAGTCGAAGCTCTTTTTTAAATAATTACATGTTTTGCGTTACTTTGTAATAAGAACAGTAATTATAATGGGTAATTAAGAAAACGAATAATTTTATTATTGTGTAGGTAGTTGCGTTTAAAAATAGAATCTGCAAGGTGAAATAGCTAACACAAAACTATATTGTTATCATAACTACAAGGTTGTCTATTAAAAAAACACTTTTCTTCAATTGGTGTATTAAACAGGAAATTGGAAATGTTATAATTGAATTTTAAATTGTTTCTTAATAATTATTTATTGCATTCGTACATACAATTTCAATTTTAAGTGTACTTAATAGGAATGAAAATGCGCACTCTTTTTAAAAGTTAACTTATTTAACGACTATGTTTTTAGTATACATTGTTTACAATACACAATGAGAACAAATTTTGATGAAGGTCAATATTTTCCAAGTTAAGCCATTTTCCGTTTTACTATATACAAGGAAATGCCTCCACCGTTATCATACTTTCCTGAAGGTTACGATGTATTACGCTTGACCTTACGTGCCGACGTCCAGTTAATAACAACGCTAATTTCCTACTTCTTACCACGATCGGCGTCTAATCTAATTTATAACGATGAATCATACCTACAAAATCTTTTTTATAACGCACATGCAATATTTGAGTTATTGAAGTTGAACAATGCAGAACACGCGTGTTAATCACTGTGTTATTTACGGTTATACCTATAAATTCCAAATTTACAGATTACAATTCCGACAGTGTTTGGTGTTGATTGTTGAAAGTAAAATTTTGTGGTTTGACCCACCGCTTTGATGTTTAAGCAGGATTTCGTGTATTAACTTCCACCTATAAAATACACATAAAATTGTAATTGTTAAAAATTACGTAACGATTGTACAATGTCGGTAAGATATTACTCAGAAGAAAAAACATTTCACAGAAAAAAGTATAGTCATCATTTAATCGGTGTTATAAAAACATCACTTTCTGTACGAAAATTATTTAATAAAACGTGCTAATGGATCGTAAAAGAAAATGAATTCTAGATTAAAAATAATAAAATACGTGCCTAAAACATTATTTGAATTTCATAAAATCTTTCGATCAAAACTTTTTTATTGTTATTGTAGTAAAACCTCAATATAACGGATTAATACGACTAATGCAATATGAAACATTTTTAATTTGCACTTTAAAGACTCTGAAGGTGTATGTTAAATCAGAAACTTTCTAGTTCTACGTCTAGTGTTAGTTGAATGAAAAATATACAGCAATCTAACGCTGAATAACAACTAAAACTAGAAACATTCGGGTTTAGCCGTCTTAAGAGCCGTACGTCTAAACTAGAATGTTTCTAGATCTAGGTCTAGTGTGAGTTACACTTTTAGTCCAATAAAAATATACAATAATTTAGCTCTGAATAACAATTAAATTCCTTGATTTATACTACCTATATAGTATAAACAAGTAGGGAAATACCCTTTAAATATACTGTTTGTGTTAAATAGATTATATTAATAGTATGGTTTAAAAATATTTTGTTTGTTACATCGATGTTTTTTTGTACTTACATTTGCCACCTTCCATATAGCATTAATTTCCTTTTTAAGGAATGTATATTGTCCGACCTTGAATTATACTCCCACAATAACATATAATTTCCTAAGTATGTCTGGTTATTTTACAGACGCGATCATAACAATTTCCTCCTTACTGTGAAGGTTACGACACCAGAACGTTACCAGATGTGGCTATAAAATCTTCGACGTCGTAATGCGAAATTGATTGAACGTTCGTGTTTTCAGTCAAATAACAATTTTTTGCTTCATTTCAGTCAACAAACGATTACGTTACATGACACTTTCATTTTCTTTTGGTTTGCGTACTTAAAATTTCAATAAGTAGTTAATTTTACGTATACATCATTTACTGTTTTTAATTAACCACTTTAAATTAACTAGCTTTAATTTTTCGATTCTTATAAACAATTAAACTTGAACGTCAATGTTGTTTGTTATTTTTAATTTATTTTTTATTTGCAAAACGTAAACTACGCAAACCACGTAAACGAATCCATTATACATGTATTATGAATGAATCAATTTGTTTCATAATAAATAATTAATTTTGATTTAGAACAATCTATTTTTAGCATTAATGAACAATGATGGTTCCGGTACCCATTCAAAACTTAATTCTATGAGGCGGTTCCAAAAATAACCGCAAACGACAATAAAACTAATTGCATTTGTACTCTATTTGTACAAACAGCTTCATTGTTGTTTTGCTTCTGCAATGCTCGTATCCCATTTAGATAGTTTAACATCGCACAAACACCCACTTATCGCGATTAATTGGTGTTAGAATGAACCAAGTCTTCAGCTACATAAATGGGATCGTACATTTTTAACTTAATTATAATTACATCCGCGTTACGTCGTCCGCGCATTGTTCTGTATAATAATAGATAATAGTTCCTGGAGATAGTAGAGGATGTGAAAATTATATCTCACAATGTGCGGTAGTTCATTGTTAAGACATCATACATTTTTAAACTATTATGATGTAACTATAAAAGTGCTTTATTCTTGATAAATTTTTGAAACAAATAAAAAAATTACAAACTCAAATTTGAACCGTACAATCCAATATAATGAAATGACCATTGTTATGTATTGAAATCAATAAATCATCATTGATTGTCGTGCTTCAGATTCAGATAATATTATTAGTCGATCATGGCATAACCACATTCCCGACCTCAACAAACAAAGCCGCAACTCATATCTGGAATATACAAACATGTAGAAACATCGGATGGATATATACAACGAAATAATCGGTGATATATTCTATTCAATAAATTATCAGCGTTTTCATCTTTAACGTAACTCTCTCGTCTTATAACAAATTAATATTTCATTGTAATGTGTTGCAAACCTATTTCTTGGCAATCAACTATATTAAGTTCATACCGTTTCTTGAAACTGTCATGTAACGTAATGTTTAAGTTCTCTCAATAATATTCCTTAGATGGATAAGAAATTAACTTGTATACTAGATGTGATATGATTTCTTGATACATATTGATTTACAAATTACCTACATACAGGTCAGTTTATTCGATTATATTTTATAATTGGATTTGATGGGTTGCCAATCCACACCACCGAGGAAGCTAACGAGATATAATAGTTTACATTGAATAACGTAGAAAAAATAAGATTTCACAAAGATAATTTTTAATTGTTTGCTATTGTTGTTATATTAGAATTATATAATTTCCTTCTGTTATGAGTCTGTAATAATAAGTATCTTATCTTACATAAAATTTTACTTCTTACAAATGGTTTATTTCGCATGAAAAGTTTAATTTAAATTTTATTATCTTCCTAGTTCCAACTTATTACTATCCTCAGAGATTAAAGTCAAAGTTGAATAAAACTTTAAAATGGTTAAAATAATAATTCTTCCACAATTTTTAACGAAAAATGTTTGGTAATAAAGTCCACATTTTTTATTTATATCTTTATGAGTAATTCTCCATAATAGTTATTCAGATTAATAGAGAATTATTCAATAGGTCTTGATTAATAGGAGGTACTAATAATGAATTAGTTGATTATGCCACCATCGTATGAACAATAGATATCCTATTATCGAAATTTCTCTAATCGCATCAAATTGTGTTATGATCTCATGGGTATTTATTTAAAACATATAATTGCTCTCTCAATGTATACATATATTTATTGTATGCAAATTGTAGTGGTTAGAGAGTTTTCAAAAACAATGTCCTTACTAAAATCTTTAGTGCGGACGAGTTATGCGGAAATACCATAAATTAAACGCTGAATTTGTGTCGTAAATTATATGCACTCCGACCGTTGAAATAGCTGTGGCTCCTCTCCATTACATTTCACGCGAATCAAACGAATTAAAGAGCGAAATATCTTTTCAAAGTCAAGTAGCGAATTGAAATTCGAACGTTTCGGTTTTTAGATTACTAAGAGCGTTTGGACGTTTGAGGAGTAAGCGGAAAATAATTACCCTATACAATCACAATTTAACGTGAACCTTATCTTCTCATGGCTTCCACGGTAATTTATTGTTAAACTGGAAGCAGTTCCCCCACTAATTCTGCATTGTATGCAAGCACAAAATTAATTGCATTCATTTACGTTAATCTTAAATCGTTAATTACGAACGATACTTTTAAACAATTTTAATTAATAAAATAAGACTTCCACGCAATGATTTTGAAACACATCATGCTTTGAAAAACGCGAATCAATTTACGAAACATCCGTTCGTTTAACACATAATTTAACAAGATGCGCTTCGTCTCCCTACACCAAATAACCTTGTTTTTCGAACGAAAAGATTTTACGCAAAGAGTTTGTTTACGGACTTGTTTTTCACGTGGTTGGTCGTGCGAGGAGTTTCCGGTAAACGTGTTACTCTCGTTATTGGATTAAACTTAACGGTTTATGGAAAACTCGAGTGAGCGCGCGTTCTCGCACTCATCCTATTCTTCAGAGTCCTCGGAGGCTGAGGTTGACGTGACGGTTTTTAATCACGTTATTTGGGGCATGAATAATTCTAGTCTTTACGTTACGACCATTTCGAATCGGATGGCAAGTTTAAATATTAAATTGCCAAGTTTA